CCTCCTGACAGAACCTCTTCTCGTAGGTGCACAGTCCTGGGGGTCGGTGGGATGGGAGCGGGGGGCAGGGAAATGGGAGGTCAGAGCAGTCTGAGCACTTCTGGGCTGCTGTCACACGAAGAAAAATGGACATGCTGTGCAAAGCTGCTGGCAAAACTGGGTCTGAAACAAATAACAGAGTGGCTTTGGGGATTTGGGATTGGGTATCCAGGGTTCTCTGCAGTTCACACAGGACCATTAGCAACCTGTGTATATGATTGCAATGGCACAGGGACACATACAGAACAGTATTATCCTACAGAAATAGCTGTCTGGAAATAGGCCTTCAGGAAACGTATTCTGAGTCCATTGCTCCAGAGACTAAAGCATTTACTCTGTTCTTTCCTTTCACCTGAAACCCTCGATTAAACCTGCTGAAAAAAATGACCCTGGGACTTTTGCACCCAGCACCCCTTTGTTCAGAGCCCAGAGCTGACACTGATCTCTGAAACTCATGTGAGGCTCCAGGTGAAGAAGCCAGTTGTGCTTTTCTTTCTTACAGGGTTTTGTCCTTTTTTTATTATTATTTTTAATTTATTTTTTATCTATTTTTATTTTTCCTTTTAATTTTATTTTCTTTTTTTCTTTTTCATTTCCCCCCTTATTCTTTTTTCCTTTTCTTTTTGTCTTGTCTTTTTTCCTGTTTTCTTTTCATTTTTCCTTTTCCTTTTTATTCATCTTTCTCGTTTTAAATATTTCAATCTTCCTTTTATTCTTTACTTTTCCCCCTTATCATTTCCCCATTTCCCCCTCCTTTTTTCCTTTTCTCTTTTCCTCATCTCTTTTTCTTTTCTCCTATTTTCTTTTCTTTTTTTTTTTTTTTTTTTTTTTTTTTTTTTTTTTTTTTTTTTTTTTTTTTTTTTTTTTTTTTTTTTTTTTTTTTTTTTTTTTTTTTTTTCCCCATTTCCTTTTCTTATTCTTCTCTTCTCTTCTCTTCTCTTCTCTTCTCTTCTCTTCTCTTCTCTTCTCTTCTCTTCTCTTCTCTTCTCTTCTCTTCTCTTCTCTTCTCTTCTCTTCTCTTCTCTTCTCTTCTCTTCTCTTCTCTTCTCTTGTCTCTCCTTTTTCTTTTCTTCCCTGTTCCCTCTTTCTTTTTACTTCTCTTCCTCTCTCTCCAGCGAGCAATCACGAAGCGTCCAACCCCGAAACCGACCTGAAAGCAAAACCCAGAGCTCAGCATCTTCCCTTTCCACCGATTGAAGGCAGCTCGGGGAAGCAGAGGCTGCGGGCTGACCGCAGGACGCGGTGCTGGGGCTGCGGGCAGCGATTTCTGAACCTGGCAGAGAAGCCCCTCTAATGTCATCCCGAGGTGACAAAGTGTCCGTGTCCCTGACCCGGGCAGCCCCGGCGCGGAGCTACCTCGGCAGCGCTGCGCTCGCACGTTCCCGGGAAAGCACCGCCTCACAGTTTTGGCTGCTGATCGTCAGATTAATTAACCTATAATAATTAATTAAATAATCGTTAATTAGAATAATGACGCCCCGGGGTCCCCCGGCCCCGCTGCGGGGGTGTGCGGGGATGGAGCGGAGAGGGGATGTGGGGATGGAGCCGGGGGTGTATGGGGAGCCCCGGGGGGGGATCCGGGGATGGAACCGGAGGGGGTATGGGGAGCCCCGCGGGGAGATCCGGGGATGGAGCGGGAAGGAGATGTGGGGATGGAGCCGGAGGGGGGTATGGGGAGCCCCGGGGGGAAATCACGGGATGGAGCCGGGGAGGGGATCCGGAGGGAGCCCCGGGGGGGGATCCGCGGGCGCAGGGCCTTTTGTTATGCTAATCCGGGCTGACATCACGCCGCATATCAAAGCCGAGGGGGCCGCATATAAGGCGGCTCCGGGGGCCGCCCCGGCAGAGCGGCCCCGGTCCCCGCGCAGCCCGGCGCGGGAGGAGGTGAGCGCGGTGCGGGGAGGGAGCGACGGTGCCGGGAGCGGGAGGACGGGACAGGCGCCCCGCGGAGCCCCCTGGAACGCCCGAGGGGCGGGAGTGACCGGGAACAGAGGGTTTCGGGGAGCGGGAGGATTGCAAGGGGAGGGAATGCGTCCCAGGAGATGCGTGAGCGCAGGGAGAGCCCGCGGGCTGCAAGGGAGAGAGGAGGTTTGGAGGATGCAAGAGAGAACTAGGGGAGACCCGGGAGGGCGCGAGGAGGAAGGAGACTCGGAGGTTGCATTAGAGACCTGAGAGCCGGGGAGGGGAGTGTGAGTGCGGGAGAGAGGGGAGGACCCGTGGGAGAAGGAGACACAGAAGGGTGTAGAGAGCCCCGAGACCGATGAGCTGCAGGGGAAAGGAGAGAACCAGGAGTTGCAAGGAGGAGTGGGAACCCCCGGGCTGACGGGAGAGGGGAGACTCGGGGCTGTGAGTGTGCGGGGCGGCGGCAGGAGCGGCACGGGAGAGCGGGAGGCTGCAGGGGAGCGGGGACACCCAGGGGCTGCAGAGGACAAGGGACATGTAGAAGGGCTGCAAGAGACGAGGGACACCCGGAGCTGGAATCAACTCCCTGTTTCTTCCCTGCTCCCGGTCCTCACTGCAGGTCGTTTGGGGATGTGCTGCCCGTAACCCAGGCTCCTGTGCTCCTGGGGAGCTGCAGCCTGGCAGCGGGGGCAGGTGGATGTCTTTCCTTCTGGATGGGAGAGCTGGAAAAATGTGAGCGGGATAGTCACAGGTTTATACTCGGTTCAAAATTCCCTGTTCCCATCCTCGGGTCCGCATTCCTGGATGTGCGGGATGGGAGCGTTTTCTGAGTGCAGGAGTGGGACTGGCTGCAAACAGCCTTGGGGTGAAGAGGAAAGAGCTTTAGAGTTAAAAACGGCTCCGCTTTTCAGGAGCCCGCGGGCCACTTGCTGCTGGTTTGATCAGTGACCCAGAGCTCTCCGGAGCTGTAAACATCACGTCTGCCCCAAAGAGTCTCCCTCCCCTCCCCTTGCACATTCCTCTTGCAAATGTAACCTGTGATGGACGGAGTGGAAAAAAGCATTATTACCTCCCCAAATAACAGGGGTGCAATTTCAGGCCAAGCTTGCAGCTCTTGCTGCTCTTGCTGGGTGGGGATGGGGGGGGGGGGTGTTAGATAATTTCTCTTCCTCTCCAGGAGTTGGAAAAAAACCAAACCGTGACTTTTTCAAGGGGGGGGGGGGGGGGGGGGAAGCAGAGAATGGTGTTGGCTGGTCAGGTTTAGCGAGAGTAAAATCTGAGACATTTTACACCCAATTGTGCAGCAGTTCTCGGGAGGGAGATAAGGGATCTGAAATACCTAAATGGGCACTGAAGGGCATGGGCAGGATTAAGGGATGAAGGTTTCCAGTGTGCTCGTGGAAGGGTAGGAAGAAAAGAGCTCCCAAAGATCAAAAGATACAGAAATACTCTGAAAGAAGAAGTGTGTGTGCCGGGATGCTCATGGGAGCATTGCCTTCAAGGGACACAGCAAATCCAGGAGGGCACTAAAGAAAAACAACCCGTGGCAATGAAATCCTGCCTCCCTCGTAGGCAACACCGTTGTCTCGGACTTCAAGGGAGCCGGGAACTCGCCCCTAGAGGTTATTAAAATCCTTTGTAATAACAGCACTTCTCTAGTAACCCTTTACACCAGGCACTGGGGCTGGGAGAGCCAAAATGCGGTCTGAAAGGGAAAATATGCTGCAGATGGCAGAGAAAACACCCAGAAATATTTCTTGCCCCCGACCCAGTTGCTCCCCAAACGCGGATACTGAAGTAGAAAGCTGTAGTTGGGCGAATCCAGAGCTGGGGATCAGGTAGAATGTGCTTTTCCCAGGGCAAGGGAAACCCCAGAGTGGTGCTGACTGCTCCTGCCACCCCCAGTGCCTCCCCAAACCCCTCTGATGGGGTAATGGGGGGCATGAAGAGTCCCAGCTTGGCTGTGCCGGTGTGCCAGGAGATGGGCTGGGACTCCAGAGCGGCAATGTGGTGGGCAGGTTTTGCTGTTTATTTTATTCTTGGCTTTCTCATGGGGTGGGAATCCACCGCAAAGCCCACAAAAAGCAGCCCGGAGCCGTGTCTGAAGTGAAAAACCGAAGGGAAACCCATTTACTGCTATTAATACCGCTGCTAAAATAAGCAAGCCGTGCCCTGGAGACAGTCAGGACCCCTCTAAGAATTTAAGCCCTGCACCTGGTTTGTTTATTTGTTTGGTCTGAAGAAGGGTAAAGCAACAGAAAGAAAAGGAGGGGAGAGCTTTCTTGTCTCCTCCCGGCTGCTCCCCGGAGACAGAAATGGGATTTTATGTTTACGAAGTTGCAGCCTTTTCCGTGAGATCCAGGTGCCCGAGGACTTGGAAGAAGTGAGAGGCAGAGTTAATGAGGTGAGAAGGAAAGCAGAAGGGAAAGAGTAAAACGCATTTGTTGTAACAGATCAGAGCGAAACATCTGCAGGGCACGGGCACCTGCATTGAGTCGGGAAATGTAGTTTTTATAATTTGTCTCCTCTGAAAAAAAAAAAAAAGGAGGAAAAAGAAATCTGGAGAGAGGGAAGGGAGAGATGAATAGTTGAAGATTTGAACTACTCTAAAGATTTACCTTTTTTTTTGCCCCCGAGCAATTGTACAAACCTTTTGGAGAGGGGGATTGAAAAACCCCCCTAAAGTGAAGCAGCGAATGAAGTCTTGCCATGTGCAGGGTTAAATGGAAACACACAATCAGACCATAACTCAGGGGGTAATTCAAGCCATACGGGTTGTCTGTCTGTTGACTCGAAGGTTGTATCAAGGCTTGGCAAAGGAGGGGACTGAGAGGGGATAATCCAAACCTTTTCGTGATTCATAAACCACTCCTTCGCAATTGGGGTAATGGATTTCTCTCTGGCCACGACTTGCTGAACTTCAGAGTTAACGTAGCTCGGGCTCTTTCTCCCTCTCCTTTCAGGTGGTTCATCTCCGAGAACAAGCAATACCCAAACTGAAGGGAAATAACGCTGTGTGAAAAATTAGGAAAACTTTTTTTTATTATTTTTTTTTTTTAATTTTTCCTTGGAGAAGCTGATTTCCTTTGGCAAGAGGGGAAAGGTGGAGAAAATGAGGCCAAGTCTGCGATTTTTCTTCGCTGGTTTTCTATCGCTGATCCTGCAGATGGGGCTTTGCTATGGGATAAAATGGATGTAAGTACCTGGCTGTGTCTCTGCATTTTTTATGTTTTTCTGGGCATTGCTGGTCTCTTACAGTTTGTACAACTGCTGTAAAGCTGTTTAAAGAGCAGCAAGCACTGCAGTTCTCTAGGCATTCATTGATTTCAAGTGTCTGTACTAGAGGCTTGTGCTAACAATGTGTCTCAGCTTTCTTTCCAAAATATGCATGATTTAGGCTCGGGTTTGTGGGTTTTGTTTTTTTTTTCTCCACATTGATACCGAAGGAAAGGCACCCACTTGAACAGCTCACATGAGCCACTTAATGAAGTTTCTGGCGTTTGCTCCTGCCTTGCTGGGGAACTCTCCCACCAGGACCACTGGTCGTGCTGAGTAGGAGCTGAGAGCAGTGGGAGAGGCAGCTGAGATAATGCCACTGATCTCTAACCACAGGGGATGCTTGACAGATAACATGTTTTTTTGGGGGGGACCTTTTAACCTTTGGATTTTGTGAAGGGTGTTAAAAATTAGGTGAGGAGTGTGGGGGGGAGGAGGGTGAAGAAATACCAGGGAGTGTGGTCAAGTCTGGATTGAGTTTCCGTAAAGGTAATACCACTGCAAACAAAGTGAAAACATCCCTATTTCATTTCTTGGCTTCAGCAAGCGATCAATTAGTTGCTTACTGCAAAAAAAAACAAACAAGCCCTTCCAGCACCAATCTGGTTTGATGTCCTTGGTGAGTGATCTGTCTTTTCTACTTGGGTTTGGAGCTGGGCACAAAATAAATAGGAGGATGTGGCTTCACCTCAAATGAGCATCTTCTGTAAAAGCCAAGCCCAATAACATACAATGCCAGGAAGACTGTGTTGTGCATTGAGGCAAAGATCTTTGGGTTAGGTGGGGAAACTGGGACAAGAGGTTCCTGTTTTGTTGCTCCTTCTGCCACAGACCCTGTGCTATGTCTAATTCCCATTCTACTGTTCCAATCCTTGGCATTTGAGGATCTCTTCATGCCACCTTTTATAAAGGTTCTCTTAAATTTGGATGTCTGCAAATTCAGGTATCTTGTTGGAGCCAGTGTTTTCACTGCCCAGCACGCAGTCAGGGGAGAGGGGATGTTCCAGATGGCCATTCACCCTCTCCAAACGCAGACATCCAACAGCAGTAGCAGGTGATGTTCTCTGGAGATGCAGTGGGCTGCAGGGAACTGTTTGAGTGGCTCCACGCTCTAAGGACCACCTTGGAAGCAGAGAAGAGTCAGGATGTGATTTGCTCCTCACTGGCTTGGTTTTACACCTTGCAGCAGTCAGCCCAGCTCAGTTACACTGCCCAGCTGTTCCATCTGCCAGCTTCCTCCCGTGTTTAAGGTCAGCATTAAGAGCTCAGCATTAAGGTTCTGAGCTCTGCGTATATGGAGCACCTCCCACAGGGCAGGACGTTTAGCAGCACGCCCGTGGGGCTCGCTTGCAGCCTTTGTTTCCCCGCAGGGCAGAAGGGAAGCTGTTTTGTGGCGCCCTGGCTCTGCAGGGCACTTGGTGCAGCCCCAGGGCTGGGTGGCGGGGGCTCGCCCGTGTGCTGGGATCGGAGTCCCACTTCACCAAGGTGTAAACCAGGAGGGAAAGGCTTGGCTTCCTCCAAAGGGCAGGGGTGAGATGAGCTACAGAGGGAGCCTGATAGTCTGGTGACAAGGCACGGACATGAAAAATGCTGGAAGGCAGGGCAAGGTCCCCCATAGCTGTGCTGGCAAAAGCCGGGAAGCAGTTAAGCTGCAAGGGGGTTGATTTTGGGGATGGGGTGTGGGAGAAGCATCTGGAGGCAAAACACCGCAGTTGCTGCTCCTCCCCTTCCCAGCAGACGTATCCCCCCCCTGTGGAAAAGCGGGTGGGGAGGATGAAAGCTGGGATTAAAGCGGCATTTGAAGCATGAGCTGTGTCCGGATGTGCCGCCGGGGCTCCCCTCACGCCTGGCAGGGACCTGCCCTCCCTCCCTGTCCCACAGCCCGGGGGTGCTGCCGGACGGGTTTCACACCATTATGCTTGGGTTTGGCTTTTTTTTTTTTTTTTTCCATTTGCTGTTTCACCTCCTATGGAAACACGGACCTATTTCTCCAGCTCCCCATCACTCCTCTCCCTTTGGGCTCAGGGCCTCTCCGTGGAAATCCCACTTTGGTGAACAGAGAACCAAACACTTGAGCAGTGCCTCAGAGCTGCGGTCCCAGCCCCAGACTCACCCTCCGGGTGCTGTGCAATCAAAACCTGCTCCCTCCCTCCCTCTCTCTCGCTGGTGGATGGGGAGGGAGGGAAGTGCTCCGGGATGTTTTCGGCTGTGGGTTGGTCTCCCTGCTCTGCCCGCTGTGCCGTTGTTGTAGGCACGGTGCCAGAGCCCAGCTTCAAAGGGGATTTGGGGAGGGGAGGGGGAGATAAGGACGTAGGTTTCGCCAGCCTGGGGAGGAGGGAGCGACTGATATGGCGAGCGATAGGAAATTCAATTTTGTTTCGGTGCGTGATGTAATTGCAGGGGGGAGGGGGAGAAGGAAAACAAGCTTTTCATCCATTTAGGACTCCCCTGTAACACAAATATCCCCGTAAATGAGTAAAAGCAGGGAGAGGGTAAAAAAAGAAGTTATTCATTTTATTTGGCTTATTTTTATGACTTGTGTGGCCCAGGTCCCCCAGCTGTTGGCAATTGGCACTGGGCACCCCCAAGCCTCCAGCGAGGTGCGTGGACAGTCAGCATCTTGTAAACATGTCCTTGCTCTTCCACCCGGGCTCCAGAGAGCTCCTCAGGTGTACAGTCAGGGCGTGGGCAGATTCTCGCTGCATCAAGGGTGCTGTGGGGAGGCACCCTTTCCCTTCAGTGCAATATGAGACCCTTGAGTCTTATTTTGGCAAACACTTTTCCGTCCCTAAAGCAGAGGGTGGAGGGGGTTGCATTGTTTTGTGGTCCTCAGGGCTTGTCTTGTGTCCTGGTGGTTGAGGGGGGGGAGGGGGGAGGTGAGGCAGCCACTGGTGTCAGCGGGATATGTTTTAGGGCCAGCGCATCTAGGAACTCTGTCGCCTTCTCGTCTCCTTTTGAAACCCCTTTGCTTTCCCAGGCGGGCTTGGGTTTGGCCAGGCGGGTGCTGGAGCAACCTTTTTTGGGCGGAACTGAAAACTAGATGAGCACTAGAGGGAGCTGCGGCCAGTTGTGCCGCGGAGGCTGCAGATGTTGGCAGGTCCAGGCACCGAGTAGCTTTGGAGGCACTTCTGCCTCCACAGGGGTTGGCATCTCCTCTGTCCCTCTGTGCTGAGTGTCACCTTCGGGGCAAAAGCGGTTGTAAAGAAGCCAAATGCAGCTAGTGGGGTGTTTTGTTTGTTTGGTTTTGGGGTTTTTTTTGCATGGCTTGCCGAATAAGCCCATGACAGCAAAAGCTGGCCTTAGGAATTCCATCAGTTTTAGGTGGAGCTTAGTCCCTTTGGGACGTCCCTGTCGTGGTGGCCCACTCATGCCCCGTGCACTCCGGAGCCGTCCCCAGCTCCAGCACAATTCCCAGGGCTAAATCACAGCCCTTCAGAACCAGAAGGTGGCTGAGCCACGCCTCTTTTGGTGCACACAGGATGTCCCCCAGCCCACCAACCTCGAGCGGCCCTTCTGCAGCCAGCAGAAAGAAGCGGGGGGGAGAGTGGGAAATGGAAAGATTTCGTCTTTCCCGGCAGCTCCTGCCTCTCTCCCTCAGGCAGGGGTGGGAGGGAGCTGGACAGGGGGACAGGGCGCCGGCAAGGAGCCCGTCTGCCTGGCACAGAGGCTGCCAGATGAGCTGCTGGGAGAGGGCTGAGGGTGGGGGGGACAGCAGGGGAGGGGGCTGGGGGTGAGCAGAGGAGGGGAGCACGGCTTTGAAGTTTGCTTCTTGCTCCGTAGGCAGCTCAGGAAAACTTGACGGAGCTCCATGGCCTTCTTGGAGCTCGGGGAGCCAACTCTGCTGGCATTGACTTCAGTCGGGCTTGGGCTGGGAGTCAGCTGTGCCCGCTGCTGCCAGAGCTGCATTTGGCACCGTATCTGCAAGCAAGCTCTTATTTTAAGCTTTGGCTTCAGGGCTGGTTCCTCTCCCACCCCCCCTTCTCTCCCTCTTCCTCCTCTTTCTTCTACCACATAAATTCTGCTTCCCTGTTTGAAAAGGCTTTGCAGGAGCAGTGGAAGTGTTTACCAGGGGATGTGGTGTCTTTCCCAGCACTTGCGGTCCCCACATCAGGACTGGTGCAGGGCAGGGTGGCAGGGGCATGGGCTGCCTCTGACTCCCAGGAGCTTAGACAAGGTTAAGTAAGCCTCCTGCAAGCCTTCTCCAGATGAAAGCCTGAAAAAACGAGGCTCCTGCAGATTAAAAACCTTCAACGAGATCGAATACAAAAAAAACCCCTCAATCACTGCCTCTCTTTATTAAAAGTTTACCACACACTTCACCCTCCACAGCCATGTAATTTTGTCTAAATCTTTCTGTTTCACCCAAATCCCTGCAAGATTAAGGGGTTTAGGAATAGGCATAAAAAACAGTGACTTTGCAGAGAGCAAAGCTGGCAATCTGAAGCAGAAGTTGAGGGTTTCACCAGCAATCCCTCTGTGAGACTTTTGGATCACATCACACAAGGGAGAATGGGGAGATGCCCCCAGAGAGAGAAATGCTTCCACTCTTTAAGGGTGTTTTAAAGGGCACCAATGCTTTACTGCTCAGTTCAGGGAGCTTTTTCTCCCTTTGGCTTGACCAGGAGCAATGTCTGACTCACAGTGGACCCTGTAACTGATAACCTGCTGAGATTTGAAGGTGCTTCTCCCTATGAATAGGTGCAGCTCCTATGAATAGTCTTCTCATGGAGCCCAGACCTGCAAGAATGGGCCCATACCTCTCAAAGGACCCAACACTGCAGAGCATTCATGTTTTCAAATGAATTTATTAACTGCCTGAGATAATTAAAAGAGTAAACGAATGTCATGATTCATCCCTGCATCATATTTCCTCTGTAATTATGTTTATGGCTTTCTGTCAGTATCCATAATTTCAACTGAAAGCCCTGCTATGCTATATATAAAGCAGGAGGTGTTTGGTTTGGGGCCTGTTTATTTAAAGGGATGGGTCAAATGTGTATATCTAAAAAAAAACCCTGGAACAACCAGCCCTCAGTTGTCCTCATCTTTCCGGAGAGTGAAGGATGGGGCAGGAGAGTCAGGGGAGAGGAGCACGGTGCTACCACGGGGAAGCAGTGAAACCCAGCATTTCTAGAGTGGCAGCAGGTAAAACCCTCTTTCAGATGAAGGGGTGTGAGCCCACAGAAAGATGTTTGTCAGGGATGTATTCCCAGATTGAGGACTGTTCTGCTACCTCTGCCCTTCAGGGCTGCTTTGTTCAGGCTGGTTGTGCCCCTTTGGTTCCAGTTTCCTTCCCAGTGCTGGTGATCCCTGGAGACTGGGTGAAGATAGGACAGAAACCCACCACCAAATCCCACCATGGACCAGACTCTCCTGGAGGAAGGTGTTTTTCTTTCCATTGCCCCACAAGTGTCCTTTTCAGGGGGTGGCTGTCCCCCCTCTGATGTTACTGGAATTTAGGGAGCAGGGAAGGGTGGTGCCTTTCTTAAGGGACATGGAATGTAGAAGATGTTTCTGAATGTAGGACGGAGACTGGGCTAACCTGTGCCCCCTCCAGGGCATAGACCAGATGACCTATTGGGCCTCTCACATTCTTGATCTGTGATTTATAGAGGCACTTTTGGGTCTCGGTGAGGGACTGCAGTAACTGAGTTTTCTTTTCCATCTCCATTACCCCTTTTCCTCCCAGCACTTGGAGATGTTTCCAATTACAGGTTCTCACAAGCAAAGGCATGAAGTTCAGGCCTGGGAGATGTTCAGAAAACACCTTCCTGCATCTTGGAGTTTTATTCTTGGTGGGCTCCCTGGAGCTCGGCTCATTCAAGGGGAAACAGCCACTGCTGCCCTTTACTGAGTTCTCACTGGACGGGAGGTGGTTTTCCCTCTTCCATGGGGCCAGTGTTCTTCTCACTGCATTGAAAACCTGCTTCTCTAAAGGTGTTCCCTTCAGGCCATCTGTGACAACACAGTCACGTTGTATCACATCCCCCTTTTCCACACTGGGGATGAGCTCCAGCCTGAATTCAGCTTTCATCCCAACCTGTCAGGGGTTATTTTTGCTGTTTGTGACTTGTCTGTAATGGTGAGATACAGGTGCCTCGGTGTGGCCTTCCAGGTCCCCTAGAGGTGCTGAAGGTCTCTATACAGGACCATAAAATGGGGTGCAGGATTTAGGAGATACATGGGATCCTTCTGGAGGGCCAGGTGGAACATCCCAAGGCTTCTCAAGTGATAACATGGCACCTCTGCTTAGAAAACTGAGCTGGTGCCCCATAGTACAGCCTCTCTCAGAGCCTTGGAATGTTCCTCCTTTGCCTGAAGCTCGGGCTATGGAGCTCTCTCCCTTCTGCCACACCCTGCCTGCTTCCCTGGCTGCTGGGACGTGCTGTGCTGGAGTATTTATCATTTTTACTCTCTTACTGCCGAGCTGCCTTGGCCTCCTGCCTGATCTGTGTTGCAGCCCATTCCTGGGAGTTGCTGATAGGCTTTCTGGAATAAGTTTTCACAGGTCCCTGGTGCCAAGTGCTGGGGGTTGGACACATCTCACCCAGCTCTGTGCTTACACAGTCCAGATGTGTGTGTCCCAGCTCAGTGCCTGTGTTTCCTACGCAGCGCACAAAAGGAGTGTTTCTAAGGCATGATATTATCTTACTGTAGGTCTCAAAAGCACATCCGGCAAACTGCTTTCTAGATGTGGCTTTCTTCTGTCCTGGTTCACATCTGAGGCAGGATGAGCTGCCTTCTGGAGGTGCCCCTCTCCCAGCATGGAGCAGTTCATGGACACCGGTGTGTGAGGCACTGAGCTGAACTGCAGGGCAGCATTCCTGACCATTAAATTATAAATTGTTTGGGTTGGAAAAGACCTCTGTGATCACCGAGGCCAACCAACAACCCAACCCTGCCAAGCCCACCACTTTTTCCTTTCCCTTGAAATTCACTGGCCAGAACTTCTGTTCGCAGGGTGTTGAACGGACCTCTTCAAATACGTGTGTGATGTTTGTGCTTGCACAGCCAGCAGAGTGGGGCTTTCCCTTCCAGCTTTGCCACTGATTGTCTAGTGCCAGAAATGCCAAGCTCCAGTTCCCTGCGAATTTGTCAGTACAGACCTGCTCGGCCCTAGCAAGGACTGTGGCTTTACCCTGCTGGAGGAGTGGTGGGGGTTACTTAGAGCAGCCCTGAGAGAGCTCCAACATACACAGCAGCTGGTTCAAGCCAACCTTGAGGGAGCTGGTGGAACACAGATTGGTTTTCCTGAGAGCAGGAGATCAGAGCTTATACCCCCTGTTTTGGTTAGGGCTCAATTTTAGCTCTGTTTCCATCCCATTTAACTTGTGAAGGATGTGCATGTTACAGCCATAAAGTGAAATGCACCCAGAAATGTGTCTGCTAATAAGCCAAACTAACCAAGATGGCTTGGGATGAAACTGAAAGGCAACACATTTAACAAGGAGAGAAGGAAATACGTGTTAAAGTGGTTGTGTTGCCAGGATCAGATGCCAGTTATTGATGCAGCCAGCTAGAAAGTTGTTTTATGGGAAGGAATAACATTTATGGCTACCCTAAGCAGGCCGTAAAGATACAAAGGGAGTTACACACCAGGCTGCTGCTGATCTCTGTGGGTGCCTGGGGGAGAAGAGCACGAGGCATGGCAGCATTGGCTCTTTTTTTGCTTTTTGCTTTTTTAACCTGGAAAAGTTGGCAGTCGGACACCAGAAGAACCAACGGGGTCTTGGGATGCTGTTGTTTCCTTCCATGGTAATTCATGTGCTGGGATTGGTGGGTCCCTCCTTGTTTTGGCCATGGTGCTCTCTCTGCACATTCTCTCATGGTGCTGTTGCTCTGTGGTTTTTGGGGACTAGAGAAACCCTTACCTAGGAGCAGCAGTGATGGGATCATGGAGGCCCTTGGCCTTAACTCTAACTGAAAGCACGTTTTGCAAATTTGGTGGCTTTTCCCTGGGCCTTGTAGGGGATTTTCTCCATAATTAATTATATGACATTTAGCATAATCCTTTGAGAGTGTGTGAGACAGATGTTGAATGCAAAACACTGATAACACCAATGGCACTTTTTTTCCCCTGAGTGCCACAGTCTTGGAGGATCCAGCTTTCTGTTATCATGGAACTGATGGGTCATTTTTCACTCTGCTGGGAGGTCTGTCCTCTTCATTCTTCAGCAAAAACCTTCCCATAGGGTTTACACATTCAGTCAACTTGGCACATGCCCCAGGAGCTTTGTGCAGACTCCCCTCGATAACAGAGGGAAATGTGCACTTCTGGAGGGGGTTTCTTCCCACCTGCCTTAAATGCCTTCTTTAAAGGAGATAAATCACTCCTCATAACTACTTGTCTTTCTCACCAGCTGAAACTGGGCCCCTATTTAGAGAAAGCTTCAGGTGAGCACAGGCCACTGGCCTGTGGTGGGTGGCGAAATGAATACTGACCTAAAGATCAACTTTTAAACATGCTTTAACGCTTTTTTTTGTGCTTGTCTCCTCAGAGCTCTGTCCAAGACCCCTTCGGCTCTGGCCCTGAACCAGACCCAGCACTGCAAGCAGCTGGAGGGCCTGGTGGTGTCCCAGGTGCAGCTGTGCCGCAGCAACCTGGAGCTGATGCAGACCATCATCCAGGCGGCACGGGAGGTCATCAAGACCTGCCGCAAAACCTTCTCGGACATGCGCTGGAACTGCTCCTCCATTGAGCTGGCTCCCAACTACCTGCTGGACCTAGAGAGAGGTAAGCAGTCCTGAGGAGGGGTGGCAGTGAGGAGAGTCAGTGTGTGTGTGTGTGTGTGTGCTGGGGAGGGGAAGGGTCTTGCTGCTGAGGGCACATGGAGGGACTGAACAGAAAACATGTTCATCATCAGGGTGCCCGTCCTGCCCAGGAGCTCTTGGGTGCAAGACACCACAGCTCTTACAAAGCAGACCACCACTCTGGTCTGCTCATCCCACTAGGAGTCATGGGAGGGGCACAGGGGCAAAAGGAGGCGGGAGAGTCCATGAAGGGGCTACTCCAGATGCTCCAAGAGCAGGTCACACCACAGTGGACAAGCTGCATTAATCCATGTGACTGCTTTCCCTGATGGGATGTTGATTTGTGTTGAAGAGTTGTGCTCTGAACTGGTGATGCCATGGGACATCTCAGCTGCAGTGAGTTGGTGTGTTGGTTGCTCTGTGGGGCACAAGCTGTGTGGGTCTCTTTTTGGGAAATGTTGGCCCAGGGGGCTGAGCTGGAGTTGTTGTCTCTTGCAGGCACAAGGGAGTCAGCTTTTGTGTATGCCCTTTCTGCTGCTGCCATCAGCCACACCATTGCTAGAGCCTGCACCACCGGGGACCTCCCTGGCTGTTCCTGTGGTCCCATCCCAGGTGAGACACCTGGACCTGGGTATCGATGGGGAGGATGTGCAGACAACCTCAACTATGGTCTTATCATGGGGTCCAAATTTTCAGATGCTCCCATGAAGATGAAAAAATCAGGATCACAAGCCAATAAACTGATGCATCTGCACAACAGTGAAGTAGGGAGACAGGTAACAAATCCACGAGAGTTATTGTACTTGTACAAACATCGGTAGTGGTCGGTGGCTCTGTGAGGTTCAGTGTCTCTGCCAGCCAGGGAGAGGAGCAGGTTTCTCTGATAATTCTCTATTAGTCACCCTGGGACTCAGGAGGCCCCAGATGCCATAATCAGCCCTGTGTGACCGTGGGTGGGATGTCTCATTGTCTCCTGAGGGCCAGGAGTGGCTCTGGCTTGCTGACCCAGGAGGTGTGGGGGGTGCTGGGTTTCCAGGGGCTCTGTGTAAGTGTGGAGGATCAGCAACTGCAGCAGCTGCCTCCTGCCATCCCTGCAGCCAGGAGGGATGATTTCTTCTCCTTTTCAAGCTGCTTTGCTGGTGATTATTCTCGTGTCTGGCAGAAGCTGCATTTAGCAGCTCACACCCAGCGGAGGGATAATGCTGTGCAGTGGGTGTGCTCTGAGGTGCAAATCTTGAGAGCAGCCCTCCTGCAGCTGGACAAGTGCGTGGGGGACTGCAAAACTGACCTCTGCACCCATCTCTGGGGCTGCTCCCACCACACACCCTGGTTGTTCCGGGGCTGCCTGTGCAGACAGAACTTGGAGTGCGTTGAGCTCATTGGCAGCGCACCGTGAGCTACAGGCTGAGTGCCCCTTTGCAGAGCACAACCACCCTCAGCTTCCCTCCCCTGGGTCTTTTTGTTCTACTACTCCCACTCTGTTTGGTTTGGGGTTTTGTTTTGTTTTGTTTGATTTTGTTTTACCTCTGTAATGTGTTGAGTTTTTGTTCCAATTGCAAAGGGCAGATTTTTGTCTGGGACATGGCGTTGCCATGGCTGGTGCATTCAGCCCTTCCTGGCAACATCTGCCCTGTCCCACCAAAAGGAGACCAGGGCAAAACCAAAGTAAAAGGCTCTTTTGGGCCCACGATCAGCAGAAAGGCAGAGTGAGAGTGCCCTGAATTCATCACAGCGATGACATTTCTCTTGCCAAATCCCAAAGCTGCTGGAGGCTGAAATGGATGTTAATGACCTATTTGTGAAGTGCTTTGATTTTTCAGCTCCTAAGGAATTTGGGGGGTGGAAATGCAGCCCAATGGAGATATCTGATCAAAATTCAAAATACTACTCTGTCTGCTAGCTGCAAAGGCGCCCTGGTGAAAGTAGTCCTGGGCTGATAGTGATCACCAGGGAGCTGTGGGATCTCATTCCCTTTGCAGAGTAGCTGCTCCAGAGTGACTGTGCAGAAATGAGAGCAGCAGTCCTTCTCTATAGCAGTCCCTGCTGAGAAAGGGCCTTCTTTAGCAAGCTTGTGGGATGTGTGGAGGTAAGAGAAGGGCATTTCCTAACTCCTGCATTCCTTTTTGCAGGTCTTGAAAGCCTCTCTTGAAATGAAATGTAAGTGCCATGGAGTTTCTGGGTCATGCTCTATCAAGACCTGTTGGAAAGGCCTTCAAGAGCTGCGAGACATTGCACTGGACCTCAAAAACAAGTATTTATCTGCCACCAAGGTCGTTCATCGGCCCATGGGCACACGCAAATACCTCGTGCCAAAGGATATTGATGTCAGGCCAGTTAAGGAGACAGAGCTGATTTACCTGCAGAGCTCGCCTGATTTCTGCATGAAGAACGAGAAAGTGGGGTCACATGGCACCCAGGACAGGTGAGGGCTCTGCCGTGGGTGCTGCCTGCACCCTGACCCCAGAGAGGGAAGGGGGGACACGTATGGATAAGGGGTGAGTCCCTGGGGAGTAGCACATGCCTGTGGGTAAAGAACATCTCTAACATATCTGTCTACAGAGCCCAGTCCTGTTAATGGTGGCTGTGGCCAAGGTAGGGCTTCTGATACTTTTTGCATCACCCAGGCAAGCACAAGATCCAGTCTGAAATTCCCCTCAGGTCACCTCCACAGGAACCTGTAAGGATCCAGCAGCTGCTTTACACTATGTTGGGTTCAGTCATTTCTTGCAGTCACTGCTGATCAGAGGAGTTGTTACTCTAAGGCTCCTCTAAGTAGGTAAATATTAACCCAATCAAGACCAGTGCTCCAATACAGCCTTAAAATAGCCTGAAAAACTACAAAGGTGATTTTTTACATTTTTTTTTTCTTCCACTGCAGTTCCAAAATCCAGGTGTGTTTGTACTGCTTGTGGCTTTGCAGAGGAATTTCTTTCTCTCATTAATATTAAGAGATTTAGGGGCATCATGGCCAAGCCCAGCCTCCCATGGGCAGGGTGCTGTCCCCTTCCACAGGCAGTAGACATGCCTGTCTCTTCCCACCATCTGCTGAATTTCATCCAAGACAAACTAACTGGGCATTTCAGCAGCCTGAGCATCTCTAGGTGGGCAGAGCCTGATCTCTCTAGAGCAGACCCATCAACAGCTAAACAATTGTGTGTTTCCAGAGTTTTCCTATTTTTTGTTAGGTGGCTGCAGTGGCTGAATTTCAGCCTGTCTCATTAGTTGCTCTCTTGATGGTTTGCTTTTCTTTAGATAGTTCTCATAATTCTTCTTTGCTCTGTGCTGGGAGCACCGGCTGGGGTTCATCTCCAGCCCAGCAGTGGAACAGTAATTACCAAGTGAAGATGTTTAGGAGTCACTGAGGGTTGCAGGGGATAAGCATGTATTGAAACTGGTTTCTGAGGGAAAGTGTCATCTGAGTGGAATTGGTGTTTTTGTGGATTTGTACAGATTTTGACTTATTTGTGTCTTGAAAAAGACCTCTTTGTTGTGCCACTCTGTGTTGAAATGAAAAAAAACCAAACTGGTGGAGGTTATTTGGAAGTGAGTTTTGTAGGAATTGCGTGAAATGAACAGGTTGTGTCAAAACCAAACTGAATTCACTGCAGATTTGCCAAGCAAAACATTTTCCACGAGCTGAAATCCTTTCAAGGCAGGGGGGAGGTGTGACGACTTCTTCTTCTTCATCTAATCTCATTTTACGGCAGATTTCAACTTTTTATCCCAGCAAGGGATAAAAATATGTCCAGGCCTTGAATGATTATTTTTTTTTCCCCCTTCTGGGGACAGGGAAATGTGTATTGCAGGCGTCCCTTTATCCAAGCCGGGGCGACAGCAGCGATTGTGGGCCTGCCAGCCGCGGCCCCGGGGAGGGAGGATTTAGAGACCGAGATATTTGGGCAGGAGGGGATGACTTTCTAAAGGAGCCTGTCAAGGAATACTCCTCCTCCTCGGATGTGCAGGATGAGAGGGCTGTGGGAGGGGAGGAGGGTGAGACAGGCCCGTGCTGAGCCGCAGGCGTCTCTCAGGGCCAGTTTTAAGGTCATGGTGTAGCTGGGCTTGTTTTCATCCCAGTCCATCTGCAGGCTCTCCAGAAGGTGCCTGAGGTCTCCAAGTTGGCACGTGCAACACAAGCCACAGCAGCCCCTTCACTGCATTAAATTAGCAGAGGAAATATGTGTAAAATGCACACTTACTGCGTGAAGATTGGCCCGTTCTTCCTGGGGGGAACGGGGGACAGAGAGGGGATCTTCCCTAATCTCATCCTCCCATAGGTGCCTTTTTCCCTTTGCAGTTTTCCTCTCATGAAGAGGACATCTAAACTGCATTTTGAATGTGGTGGCTGTGTTCCAGCCTGCTGCAGGGCTGCAGATAGTTCCTAGTGACAGGGGTGAGAGAGAAGGAGCATAAAAAGGGTGCTGGTACAGAGGGCTCAGAAAGATGTGGGTCCTGCTTGCTGCACAGAGGTGTGAAAACACTCACATGGAAATAGCTCAAACAGGTATTTAGTATATAAGTCAGGTCCTGGAGGCATCTGAACCTTTTACCCCTGTGCACATTCAGATTTTCTGGAGGGACATCCCTCTGTTTCCCACTAGGCTCTTTTTAAGGTCTTTTATGGCAAACGCAGTCAAAAAGGATTTTTTTTTTCTGTAATGGTCCCTTAGTTCATCTTCTCTCTTCTCCACCACCCGCCCTTTTCGGTTTTGGCCTTCTTCTAGGTGTAGAGGTCAGTCCATGGGGTGTTACTGTGTATTCCCCTATCCCCACAGTCCAGGAGACTTCAGGCTGGGCATCTTCAGCATCTTTCCAGCCCTGCTTTCTGCCTCCAAAGGGATTCAGATGGGAGAAGGCCCCATTAACAACCCCTTCTCCTGTTCCTGGATTAATATATTTGTATTGCTGCATTTTTGTTACAAAAATTGATCAGTTTTGTCTCATATCCCCCCTCCCTCTCCCCATGTGAGGTGCTTGGTCAGAGCACACTGGGAGCAGGTCAGAGGTTGGTGGTTCATTTGAACACCTTGGGCATGTTGGTTTTCAGTATGTGCTGCAGGGAACAATCCTACTCCAGCAGGTGGGAGAAAGGGATAATCTCATGGATGATCTCTCTGATGTGAGGGATCACATTATGCAGACTTACTGTGTGCTTTTCAGGCAGGAAAGGGAATTGAATTACCTGGGACTGCCTGAAAACCCACTTGGAAAAGGTGCGCCCAGTTACTTAAAAGCTTTTCAGAGCTCTTTGCTGAAAGGATTTCAAAGCTCTCTTCAGAACAAGCCTGAAATGTCTTGTAGGACACCTTGGACTTTCTTAGCTGGTTGAAATTAGAAATGGTTTGGAGACCTGCACACCTGCAAGTGCTTGGCATGTATCCAGGTTTCAAAGGCAGAGAACCAAACCTAAACCTGAGATTTGAAACCCCTTTGAAGTGCTCAGGGTCTGATTAAGGAGCTGACTTATGCAACCATGTCCAAGTCTCATGCAAACAAGACTTGCTGCTGTCACACTGACTGCAGCCAAACTCTGTGTGCTTATATCCCACCATCAAACTTCCACAGACCATTAAAAACGGTCTGGAGGAAAACCTAAAGAAGCTGATCTGTGGAGCTGCAAGTGGATTGTACAGCTTTCAATACAACAGATCAGCCACTGGGGAAAAAAATGTAAATGTTCCCCTTTCAGAGCTTTCTTGGACAAAAGCACTTTTTCATCTTCAGTTCAGTTTCTCCTGCCTGAAAAATTAATTATCAGCTTTGAGAGTAAATGAAAAATTATAGCAGACTACAAAACTGAGACCTCTTCTGTGAGAAAAGAAGCAAAACTATGTTAATATTTTTATCAGTAGAGTGCAGTGTATCATGTTTCAAAGGCTGCTGAAGGTTCCTTAGTGAATCCAAGGAACGGGAAATTCTGCCATGCATGCAGAAGCACCCAGCTCCTGAAGCCTTGCGGAGATAACAGAGCTGGTTCTCACTGAGCCTTCCCAGAGCAGGCCTGGAGTCAGGCTGAGGACAGGAAGGAGGAAGGAGCTCTTTCTCTGCAGAAATCAGACTGCAGTGATGTGCTGCAGCTCGGCACAGGTTGCCCAGAGAATCACAGGATCACAGTGTCAGTTAAGTTGGAAAGGACCTATGAAGTCCTTGAGTCCAACCTGTGACCCCACACCAGCTTGCAGCTGGTGCCCTTTTCAGGAGCTGGGCCAGCTCTGCTTTTTTTGCATTTTCTCAGCTAAATGCCTGGAGGAGATTGAATCCTTTCTGCTTTGAGAGACCTGGATTTCACCATAAAATTTCCCTGAACAGAATCGTGAGTGATAAATTTACCGATAGAGAGAATAATTTCACACAGGAAAAATGGATAATGAATCCAGCTCTCCTTAATGCATTTAGTCCCTCTACATCAAAATGGCATTGGAGTTAGGGAAAATTGGATCTGGGAACGATCTTCCATGGATCCTGATCTTCTCAGGAGCAAGGCTGAACTGAGATCAGCTAGGCTGCTACTGAAGATGTTTTTCTGCTCTTAAAAGCAGTTTCCCCAAACAACCTGTTCCAGGGTTTTACTGTCCTCAGTGTTACATTTTCCTTAATCTAAATTCAAACTAAACATAATCTAAAATCAAACTTAACAATTTCTTGTCCTCTCTTCTCTCTCCTTGTTGCAATAATCTTTTATAGATGGGAAGACACCTCTTCTTACACACTTCCCTGAATCAGTTCCTACATCGTTTTCCAGTTTTCTAGTTTCTGAACTGCTCCTCTGGCTCTCCTGGGAACATTCCCACATTTATCTGGATCTTTCTCGAAGTGTGGTGCTTATTTTGCATTTTAATCCACTTTTGCAGAACATCCTCAGTCCTTCTGCCCCAGGGTTATCCCACATTTTTAAGCTCACTCTCTCCTCCTCATTAATGAAAATCCAGGCTGGTTCCAGGGTGTCCCTGGACATCTCCTCGCTGACATGAGCTATTGATAACTCTCTCTCTCGTGCAGTTGTTCAGTGTCAGTCTCAGTCATTCCTTGGGGATGAGAAAGCAATTTAAAAGTAGTTAAGATTCTGCCCTCAAAATCTTCCATGAGGCCGTGGACTTTGATGTATTTTTAGGAATGTCCATTGTGTTGCATACCTCCTGAGAGACTCAAATTATTTTTCTCCTTCTTTCTTTTATATACTGTGCATTAGTTGACATTCGTGGATCAAGGGGCACCAAAGAAATAAATAGGAATTGGATTTAAAAGAAAAAAAAAAAATCTATCACTTCTTTACACAGCAGTTCTGTCTTCTGGGGCTTGTAGCTGCTGGAGTTTGTGGAGGCAGATGGTTTCCCTGAGGTCAGAAAGGGCTGAGGGAAGCACACAGCCAGGATGCCCACAGGAGGATACTGAAATGTCAGGGAAGGAACATCCCTTCCATCATCCCTAATGCAGCAGCCCAGGTGCTGGTGGTGTGTGAGAAACAGGACTAGAGAAAGGGGTCAGATTTGTGTTCTCCTCCCTTAACAGCATCTCCCTCTCCCACTGGGAGGTGCCCTGGGCCAGGCAGGCAGTCCCTGTGCCCCAGAGTGACTTTTCTTATGTCCCCATAAGCAGCTTCCCCTTCTCAATGGGACTGATGGAGTGAGGTTCCAGTGCACCTCTAGCCTGGCCCTGTCATCACCTGTCATAACTGCGGGTGACACAGCACAGATTGGCCTCAGTTTGGATCTCAGGTACCAGCTGCACAACCAAAAAAACATCTGTCCTTCTGTCTGCTCATGGGACAGAGCGAATTGGGATCCACAGTGACATTGTGGGACATGGCTAAGTTCACAGCTGGACTTCAGGGATCTCAGAGGTCTTTTCCAACCTATGTAATTCCGTGATTCTGTGATCTCCCCACAGCTTTTAAAATCAAGTTCCCCAGTCTCTGTGTGGGGGAAATGCTGGGATGTCCTTCCCCGTCTGTGCCTGGGAGCCCTCCCCACGGTGGGACTGTAAGGTTCCCGCAGCGTTCCTGCAAATGAGGGCTGCAGAGAGGGGATTTTGGACAGCACATTCAGTGGGATCTGTCTGGTCAGCAGGGCTGATCTCCTCCCTTCTTACATAAAGACGGGAAAAGCGCTGTGACAATGTGCAAGGCTGTTCCTGAGCCAGGCCCTTGGCTGGGATTGCGGCTGGAGCATCGTTTTCCAGCAGCGTTCCAAGTGCTCGCAGAGGTTACGGTGTTGTGTTAAGATGCAATCTCCTCCTTCGTGTTTTCTCTCCGAGGCTCAGGAGGAGGGCATTTCTCGGGGTTGCTGGAATCGTGCTGGACCAGGCCCAAAACAAATGAGATTGAACTTAACCCACCAGCGGGAGCCGGGTGGGATCCAGCCCTGGGCTCGGGGAGCAGCTGCTCAGGGCAGCTTCTGTGGGCAAACTCTGCTCCTTGGGCTCCTTTGTCTTCCCCAACTCGCTTTTTGTTGAAACATCTCTGTTTTATCTTGTTTAAGGAAAAAAATGAGCGTAATTCATCTAGGCTTACACTTTAAAACAGAAAACAAAATCTCTGCTTAGTGCCATTGTCAGAAAAGCTTTTTAGAGGCCCATTTAGGTTCAGGATGGGGTCAAAGGCTTTGTTTTGGCTATTCAGCTCATCCATCCACAATGCCCCCGTTTCCTTATACCAAACTGAGGGAAGCTCGAGGATTTTTTAAAAAGATTTTGGTTTTTTCCTTTCTTTGATCCAGACTGGGAGGCATGGGGACGGCTGTGGAAAGGTGTTATCTCCTACTGGAGTCTTTTTTTTTTTTTTTTTTTTTTTTTTTTTTTTTTTTTTTTTTTTTTTTTTTTTTTTGGCAAACCACAGGAGTGGATGTGGGAAAAGGGAGAATCCCAATACAGCAGGCAGAGGAGTTTTAGTCTGTTTGGATGGGGTAAATGTCACTGCTGGGTGCTTGGTGTGTTTGGGGAGTGAGCAGCCTCAGTGGGGAGCTGGAGTCAGAGTGGGTCCCTGTTCCTTGGCCTGGTGTAGATGCACCACACATCCCTCACCAGGCTGCAGCTCCCCATCCTCCCAGGGTGAACCTCAACCTTTCCATCCCCCAGCAAAGCTGAGGAAGGTTGTCAAACACCCTCCCTTCTTCTAATGTCAACATGCCTGTATTTGAACCTTTGCTCTGAATATTTAATGCATTTACTAATACATTTATGAGGAGTCATGTGGAGGTTTCCTCGTGGAGGGGCCCTGGCTCTCAGGGGCAGTAACGGGGCCTTTGGTTCAGCTTGGCAAACACGCTCAGAGCGCTGCAGACTCGGCTCTGCTGGAGGCTTTCAAAGGTTTGTAAATATTGACATACACTCCCGAATGAGGGGGATATGGGGGGGGGCTTTAAACATTGAACCTGGAGAGGAATGTGAGGCAGAATAACAAACAGGAGGCAGAAGCAAATGAAGGAAGAACAAGAGCAAAATCTCAACACTTCATTAATCCAGTAACTTCTCCTCAAGCATTACCTCATGAGGAATTCCTATAAATCTCATGGATTTGTTTTCATCCATTAATGGTGTGCTCAGCTCATGCTCCTCTGTCCTTTCCCTGCCCCAAAGCAGCCTTAGAGTGTTTCTGTCCAAAATAGCCGCACAGAACAAGATTTAGGAGAGATGTCAGCAGTTCCCCCACTCCACAAACCACCTTTCCTACAGCAGTTTCAAGCCTCCATCAAGTTCACAGCCCCTTGGTGCTGGGTACATAGTGAGATTTGTTACCCTGAAGTGCAAGCATCTGACATTTCCACCCTGGGTTATCTTTACAGTCCATGGGGAAACAGCATCTCTAGGACATGGTTCTCCTCATCCTGGCGTGCTTTCATGTCCAGTGACCCAACTTGGAGTATCATAGCAGAATGAGATAGATGGTTTTTGAGCCCAGCTGTGGAATGGTGATCAGTGAAAGGCATTCCTCAGTTCAGGGGTTGCTTCTGAAAAGCTCGAGCCAGTCACTTGCAAGCAGACAAAAACGAAGGAACCCAACACAAGGGCCGGGCCGACTTACCCCGCTGGGGTCTGGCTTTAATTAAAAGCAGAAGCAAAACAAGCAGTGGAAGTCCGTGTGATATTTGGTGACTTGTCATCCTGTCCTGTGTTCCTGCCACGCTTCCTGCTCCTGGGTCAGGACCTGGAGTGTTGTGGGGCTGCTCATGCCGTGCTGGGAGACAATCAAGGGGGGAAAAAGTGTGGCTCTGCTAGTGTTGGTTGTGATTGCCCTGATAGGATCAGTGCTGGAGAGTGGCTGTTCGGGATCTTTCCCAGCCTGGGATGCTTGGCCTGGAGCCTGTGCAAACACTGTGTGGCTGCAGGGTTCCTCCTCCGTCCTTTACAGGTTAGGGAGGGCTGGACAAACAGCAGGGTTTGTTCTCTAGGGTGTCATCTTCTTCCAGCTCCTTTCAGACGGTTTTGGAGCCTGCCTGGGAATACAGATTGCTTGGGAAGAGGAGTTCTTGTTGGGGAGATATCCCAAAACCTTCACTTGTCTGCCTGTATGGGAGGCAGGCTCAGGAGCCTGAACTGGGAGTCAGAGCAGCAGTTCAGTGTGATTTTGGGTGTCAAAGCAGGTGATGTGGGTCACAGCACCTGGGGGTCACCCTGCTGCCCTGGAAGGTGTGGGGGGCTGCTTGGCTGGGTGCTCCCTCCTGCCATGTGCTTTATGCAGCTGAGGTAGACCTGACCCTGCAGAGCTGTGAGGCCCAGCAGCACCCCAGGGCAGTGCTTTGGGAATCCCTGCAGGAACTTCACTCGCTCACAGTGTCTTCTTTCTTCCAGACAATGCAACAAGACTTCCAATGGGAGTGACAGCTGCGACCTGATGTGCTGTGGCAGAGGGTACAACCCCTACATGGACAAAGTGGTGGAGAGGTGCCACTGCAAGTACCACTGGTGCTGCTACGTGACCTGCAAGAAGTGCGAGAGGACTGTCGAGAGATATGTGTGCAAATGAACACCCTCCCCTGCCCCCCAGAGCTGAGACAGCAGCACCAGCACTACCCAGAGAACAGAAAACATTGCTTGGCCAGAGGTCATTTATCTTGCAAAGACACAGACTTGAGGGAAGCTGGCAGAAGGAAAAGCAAGCAATCTCACCAGTAAGAATAAGACCCTCAAAAAAACCCCCAAAACCAAAAAAGCAACAAACCCACAAATGTTTTCCCCCATCAATAAAATGCTCTCTGAGAAGACGAAGCCTCATTTGGGATGGTACCTCCTTCACAAATATTTCCTGTGGTTGCCAGTGATGTCCAGCCATCGAGTGCCTCAGTTTTCTAAGAAACAAAAGTAGAAACTTTCCCCAGGGGAAGAAAAGCAACTCCTGTTTGACAATAACTGCCTGTGCCTTCCAGCACAGGTACTTAGTCTCCATTGGGACCATCCCAGAAGGGAAAACACTACAACTTTTCAGCAATAACTTTGTTACCAGAGACTTAATTTTTAGCAGGGAATTATCCACTCTGAATGATAAAGGTGGAAAGATTTCAGGTCAATCCCCTGAAAGGAACAACTCATTTTAACCTTCTTTTTACACAGGTCTGCGACTTTGAAGTTGCTGCTGCAGGAAAAGCTGTCCTTGATTTGTCCAGGCTGGATGGGTGTTCAAATTCAGCCATGAAAAATGTCCCCTGGGACTGGGAGCCCCTGGAGGCAGGGAGTGTAGGGCAGCCTCAGAAGGACTTTTTGGGGCCCATGAGACAGTAGTGGGGCTGTTAGGATACAATAACAAAAGTAAAGTCAGAATCCAGCAGGAAAGGAAGACAAAAAGCAAGCCTCTGCTCTCTTTCTGTTTGCCCTTTGGGTGTGATACCCTTAGTCACTGACATTGTCCCACCCTGGGCCATCGAGTCCTTGGGGAAATGTGCCACTGGCTCTTTTCCCTCAGCAAAACTGTTGGTCCAACCCCGAGAACCCGTGGAGAGTGGAGCAGTCCTGGCTGCAGGGAGGGCAGCCCTGGAGGGCAGCAGCCATTCCCAGCAGAAGGGAGTGGGAATGTGTCAGTCCTTCCCGTGGCCCTGCCCTGGCACAGCAGAGAACCACTACCTGTGGCTGTAAATATTTCCTTTTGTACGCCGATATACAGAAATATTTATATCTCGTGCTTTCCTCTACTCTACTCCCTACATAAACATATCTATATACTATAAACAAGCATTACCCATAGTATGAAATAAATGCTGAAGTTACTGGTGCAGCAGCAGAATGTTAGATGATTAAGTTTCCTGCTTGGAAAGCAGCTCTGATTTTCCTCCAAGGGATAGGAGAAGAGCAAGGCTCGAGGCACTTGCTGGCGTGGGATAGAGAAGTTCCTTTATTCCCTGCCTCCCCTGCCTCTTCATTCAGAGCAGAATTAGCCAAGATACAGTCAAGACAATGAAACTGAGCATGGGGAGAAGGGAAGAGTCACCGTCGTTGTTTTGCTATTTTATCAGTGATCCCTCTCATTGGGAATGTTTCCCAGTGCCCCCGAGGAGCTTAATAACAAACAGGACTAATTCCTCCCCTGGGGGTTTGCTCCTGGCTCCTGCATATGGACAGGGGTTGCTGAGCAGGGGAGGTTCTGGCTTAGGTTTGGTTCCCTTCTTTACTCTGTTTTTTCTTTGCAGTGGGCATCCAGCTCTGTGTCCCACTGAGGAAAGATGACCTTGGGGAAGGATGCTGCTCCAGGAGCCAGTGATGGCCTTCACATCATTCCCCAGGCAAAATGCTGTAAGCAGCCAAAAAATCCCTCCTGCAAGAATGCAGGAGGACACTGGCACTTTCCTAGGGGCAAATGTGGCAGTAACACCGCAACCTTTCTCCAAGCTCTCTTTTTTTCCCTCCTCAGCCATTCCCTAGGGGCCAACTGCCTCTGACATGTCTGTGGAGCAGCCCTGGGGAGCTGGAGGAGAAAAGCAGCAAGGGCTGTCAGGGCAAAATTAAAGAGATTCTGTTCTCCTCAGCTCCTTTGCTTTGCTGTGATGGGTTTGGTCTCCTGGCCCCCTTCCCTCCCCCAGCCATGAGCAGGCAAAGAGGGGCCTTGGGTGGTTTGTCAGTGGTTTGTGTTATTGTCACCCCATAAAAGCTGGTGGACTAAACGTCTCTGCAGTGCAGTGTGATGAGTGCTGGGTGTCTCTGGGCTGACATGCAGACAGGCTGGTGGCACAAATCCCACTGCTCTCCAGCACTAGGATCTGGCTTCCTTTGATTCGTAAAGAAATGGTCTACTCTCGTTCTTTTGAGGAATTTTATTTTTGTTTCCAGTTTCTGATGAAGCCAACAAGGCAGGGATGTTCTGACCAAAGAAAAATTTGAGCATTTCAATGCTATTCTGTAATGAGTCTTTTTCTTGCTCCCTTGCTGATGTCCTGAGTCTGTTGCTTTGTGAAAAAACAATAAAAAGGAAGAAATGCTCTGTAGGTACATTTTTTCAGCCGCATTTCACTCCTCCCATGTCAGACCTGTGATCCTCAAGTGGCTTTCTCATGTCAGAAGAAATTGCCACTTGGCAGAGCATTAGAGGGAGGGTGTGATGTGCAGGTCCAGCAGGTGGGACAGGGACCTGCAGCAGAACCTCATCCCTGGGGTACCTCATGCCTTGTGCCTGTTCTGGAGATGCTGACCTGAGGTGGCTGAAGTGTTTGGAGGTTCCAAATCTCTGCTGTCTTTAGACAATCCATCCTGGGCTTCATCTGAATTTTGCTGCTTTGGGAAAAGAGCCTGTGTGGCCCCAGCCCATGGTTTAAGCTGTTGCACCACTTTTGCCATAACTTCGGAGTTCCAGGGCCCTTTTCCTCTGTGGAGCAGCTGCACACTGCATTTCCTTTGAATACCAACCAGGAATAAAGAGACAGTGTGTAACACAGGACCATGCTGGTGGAAGGACTCATGGTGTATCTTCTTCAGACCTGTCCCTGGTGCTTCACACCTGGCCCCAGCAGCAGAGCACAGAGAGCTCAGGAGAGAGAAGTGTCCTCGCTCTCAGCTGCAATTCCTGGTGCAAAATGTACCTGCTTGGCTGCCAAGTTATTTCCACAGTCAGTGGAAGGTGTCCCTGCCCATTGGAACTGGATGATCTCCAAGGTCCCTTCCAACCCAGACCATTCCATGTTTCTGTAATTTTCGGTGCATGTGTGGCCTCAAAGCTGTTTGGGAGATCATTTGTCACGAACCAGTTTTGTAAGGAAAATATATCCCTCCTTCCTTCCCCCAGGCCCTCAGCAACCAGGCTTTGCTCTGAAGGAATGGAGAACCTTCAGCCACTGAATAAAATGGCTTTAATTCCTGGAAATGTCAGGTCCCTCTCTTACAACATTCCCTACCACATCCCAGCCACTGTTATAATTTGGTCCAGCTCCATGTTAATTTACACTGGCTGGGAAAATACAGCTGATTTCTTCCCATAAATCCTGTCGTTTCAAAATCTTACGCTGTTACCCCAGAGGGAAACGGGCAAACTATCTGGAAGAGTACTATGCTGGTGGCTTTGTATCATGTATTGATTTGAAAAAATATGTACGATTTAATAAAACAGTTTGGACTTAATGCTATTTCCAAACCTGAGGGTTTTGCACCTTGTATACATCCAGCTGGCTTTGTGTTTTTCTGATGAATTCTCTCCCGTTCTCATCCCCTTCCAGTTTTATATCATTTAGGTTTTTCCCTAAGGTAGGCAAATGACAGTCATTATAAAAAACTTCCATCTGATTGATTGTTTTAGTCCACAAAAACAGAAGATCTTAATCATGCTAAAGCAGATAGTCCACAGTGCTTCATGTGCAGCTAGAAAAGCCCTTGATGAGGGGAAGGGTAGTGAGGAAAGGAGGCAAAAATCTGAATACAATTAACAGTGTCTTTGGCAGGAAAGTGATAAAAGAGTCCCTGAGGAACCATCCCTTTTCCTGCTGGAAAGAGATTCCTATAGCATCTTCCAGGTGAGCCAGACCTGTGCTGCCCAGCACCAGGCACCTGCCTGGGGAAGATGGTGGGAGGAGGCTCTGAAAGTACTTGATGTTGGGAATTCAGTGGAAAATTCAGCCCTGGGATCCCTTAGTGTTTCCCCCCACCCCATGAGGAAGGGGGGGGGAAACCCCCCTCTGCATCAGGCAGAGAGGGTTGTGAGAAATGGTTGCTTTGCTCCTTGGAGTGTCACAGGACTTTCTCCTCTGCACAGGGAGACAGAGCCGAGAACAAGTTTTGGGAGAGGCAGAGAAAGAACAGGAAACTTCAAATCCACCTGAGATTAATGACTTTAACATGTACAACATGTTGTGTTGTGTTTTGTTTTCCTCTCGGGACCAGTTTCATCAGTCAGACAGAGTTTGATTAAATATCTCAGCAGAGCTATGGTTTGTTCATCTAGAGCACAGATTACCCTCTGTTCATGGAAGCAGCATTAGCTGTGTTTTCAAATTGTAAGAGCTACAATAATAATAAAATTAATAACAATAGTATACATTGTGGATTGTTTTTATTTGCTCTTCTGTTAAGACCATGTGGACAGTGCTTTGTCTGTATTGTAAAGATGGTGGGACTGTAAAAATAAATCCAGGTAAAGTTGGGTGCTCACAACCCTGTGTTTGTCTGAAGCTCAAAGGAGTGTGCCAGCTCAATTCCAACACCCTGGAAGATTGGCTGCTATCTCAAAATTCATGCTGAATTTCCTAGGAAAGATTTTAAACCCATCATTCTAAGGGGCTTCTGTGCTTCCCCATCATTTCTCACCCTAAATGTCAAGTTATTTAGGATTACGCTGATCTGGGTCATTGTGAAAGTCATTAATAGCAGCAACTGTGTCATCAAAGGAACCCAACCACTGGGCTTTTCTCAAACCATGGAATCAGAGAATGGTTTCAGTTCCAAGGGACCTTAAACATCATCTCATTCCATCCCCTGCCATGGGCAGGGTCACCTCCCACTATCCCAGGTTGCTCCAACCTGGCCTTGGACACTCCCAGGGATGGGGCAGCCACAGCTTCTCTGGGCAACCTGTGCCAGTGCCAGTCCAACACCCTTCAGGTCTATGAGGCTGATCATACACAGGAGAATCCAGATCTTCCTCTGCTGCTGCAGCCATTGAGAACAGCCCCCTCCCTGCAGCCCCTCTCCACTCCCTGCCTGCTGGAGATGCAATTAATTTTACAAAGTGCTGCACATGTTGACCAGGGCCAGGCTCGGGCAGGAAAACTATTTTCTTTCCTAAACTCCTGCTCTGTCCAGGGCTGCTCCTCATCTGGCTGGGGCAGATTAACCCCCCCTCAGTGCTCCCCTCTGCAGGCACTCCCTCCCTGCTGCAGGCAGCGTGCAGGCTGGGGTGTCTGTGCACTCAGGGGAAGGGGGAGACCATGGCCAGCAGCTCCCTGTGTGCCCACACTGGAGGAGCAGCCCTGGGTGTGACACAAGAGCCTCCAGGTGACAGCTGCAAAGCATGGCCTGATTTGAGGAGGTTGCAGCTCCCACACAGAACTTTTCCTCCACTGGGCAGAGGCCTCCTCTCAGCAGTGAAGCATCTGGTGCCACTGGAGGCTCTGCACAGGACCCAGAGGGACCTTGTCCCCACTGGGGCTGGAAGAGGAACATTCAGGAGACACCCATTTCAGTCGAATTGCCCCCCTGCATGTGGTGAGGCAAGGACTCCAGGACACTTCCTTCCCCCCACAGCAATGCTCCCCAGGGCTCTTCCAGGTCCACCATGGACCAGCAAACTGAGTGACACTCAAAAATGAGCTCTGCAAAGCCATCGGGCTCATCCTGCCTCCCAAGTGCCCCTGACGCACCTGGGCCAGGGCTGGCCTCCAGATCTGCTCCTTACAGCCCCAAATCACCAAGAGGGGCTTCTGAGTTAAACAGGGCCTTAGTGTAGAGTGTAGAGCCCCAGGTCGCTGAATGAGCTCCGCCAGCAGGAATTCACCTCCTCTGACTCTGGACAGGCTGTGGAGCCAGCCGTGCTCAGCAATCTGCACTGTCAATAAAGACTGTGCCTCCAGAGGGGGGTTCAGGGTAAGAGGGATTTCTCCCTTGGGAGTTGGTGGGACCCTTTTCATGCTGACACCCACTGAATGATGTGGGAAGTCAGGTGAGGTTTCTCCTTAGCCTGATGCTTGTCGTAGGAGTCCTTCTGTTTTGATGTTTGGCTTTGCTATAAACCAAGCTAATTAGTTATTAATTATAGCTGGACTGTTGGCATCAAAGAATGAGCCTAAATAACTCCTTTGTCCCAAATGATTACATGTGTTATGTTACATAAATTGCTTAAAGACACTTCCAAATAAAAAAGGAAACTCAGTGCATGAAATCAAGCATTGTAAACATGTCAGTGTAGCTGGTTAGATTCACTTTTTCCTCTTCTTTCCATTAGAGGGAACATTTTCATCTTGAGATTTGCACATAATTCCAAGGAAACTAAAAAAAAAAAAATTATTTTTTGTGGAGTTTATAAAGAAAATCAAACCATTCAAGTGCACAGACTCAAGGCCCCTGAACTTGACTTATATTGATAATTGCTCTGGTACAAAGCAACTCTTTTTTTCCCCAACCATTAAGGAGAATATTTCAGATAATAAAGAGTAAACAAAGGAACTTCAAAGAACCAAATGGATGCCACGCAGTGACTGTGCTTTACATGAACACTGAATTGCTGGCAGAGGATTTCTCCCTGCAGAATATTTTCCATTACTCTGTATCATCTGGTTAATAGCCTAAGTGCCCTGGCTTACCTTCAGGAGACTCAGATAAGCTGAGAGATCTTCCTGCATGAAATACACTGGCCATGCTTTCAGCATCCTGCTTTTTCTCCTCAAAATGATCTGGGCCAGTGTAACGAGATTGACCTTCTTCCTTGCTGCTGATAATCCTGCTGCACTTTGGAACATTCCTCTCAGTGCTGTGTGCCCTGGATGAAATACAGGAGAATAAAGCAGTCATGAAGAATGAGCTGATATAATCCAAAGCAAAAAAAAAAGATCAGCTGTCAGGGGGAAGATACTGTAAAGTGCCTTTTAGACACCTAAATTCAATAGTGAGAATTGAATCCCGTGGTGACTACCTTATTGTTGTATCTTTTGTTCTGGTTGAATCCAGAACAAGTGTTCCTACCTAGCTTTATAACTAATATATGTATATCAATTGGAGAAAAACAAAGAAATTTGGTCTGGAGATTCACCAAAATTTCTATTAAATAAAACTCACCCTCTCTTTTAGCACAACCCAGATGCAACTCCCCAGATTTTGAATCCTGTCCATTTTTGAGCCCTGCACCACATCCCACATTTTTTCAGGTGCTCTCATGCAGAGAATCATCTGTTGCAGGTGCCTGTGCTGGAGACACCCCCACCTGAGCTCACCCAGCTCCGTTTCCATGATGGATGGAGGGGATGAACTGCCTGAGCTCCCTCTGCCACTCTGCCTTTCAGTCTGGGCTGGAGGAGGAACATTTGGTTCATGTTTTACCTGTTCTGAGACCTGGGCAGCCTCACTAATTCTGGGTTATAACTGACCCCAACACTGGCTCTGCTGGGTTTCATGCTCAGGGACTGTTCTCCATTCCAGCTGAGGGTATGTGATGGAGTTGTGGTAGAAATCCAGTGGAGGTGGGTTTGTATTTATCATCACCCTGTAACTATGACTGACATAAAAGAGATTAAAGCAATGAAACACAAAATAGAACATCTTCTTGCAGTTTGGGTTTTGGTTTGGTTTGTTTTTTTTTTTTTTTCCAAAAGCCCAAAGTTTTCAGTTTGGATTTGCCATGACAG